CCACGCGAGAACAGGACCAGAGTGCTTGTATGGGGCCAGGGTATAGAGGGCCTGGCTCAGGCTGCTCTCATCCCTCAGTGCCAGCACTGAGAGCAAAATGATGAGGGTAGTTGAAGAAGCAGAGATGACCCACAGCCACTGAAAATGGCAGCTGCAACATTCAGGCAGGATGAGGAGTCAAGACAACACAAGAGCAGATACCAAAGTGCACCGCCTGCAGAGGTTGAGCACAGAGGAAAGCACACACACTGCACTTCCTTTCTCTCCTTCCTCTGCTTGTCCTTGGCCCTGATTTCTGCTGCTTACTGAGAAGACAAAATCCAGTCCATCCAAAACAGCCAGTATTTCTGCCCCTAGAGGTTAAAGACACTGTAAGGTTGTTTAGTCACTGCCTCGGATACCTCTATCCCTCTTCCTCTGAAAAATCCATTAGAAAAAGGTGTGTTAAAAGGTCCTTAGGAGTTTCAAGCTGCTATTTTTCTCTAGAAGTTAATTGGCATGGCCTCCCTGGCCCCTGTGCACTCCAAGACCCCAGAATATTTATTATGCAGGGAAGGCCACAAGGAACCGTCGTACAAAGTCTTGGACCCAGACCTCAGGTATCTCGTCTGAAAAGTGTGTTCTTGTTCCAATTAGTTCCCATTTCATTTGACCATGAGGCACCCCTTGAAGGGAACAAGGAGTGTTGAGTTTAGGAACAAGTGTAAGAACAGAGAAGTCAAGAAATTCCCCTGAGGTCACACAGCCAGAGTGAAAGTTGAGGGTTGATTCCAGAGTCTTTTGAAGAGTTTTCCCTTCCTGACACCCAGGGCCAACTTTTGACATTTTGAATAGAGTATCAAGGGTAATCGTGTCCCGTTTTCCTTAAATTCCAATTAACAAGGAAATAGCCTTTCAGTATGACATCATTAGAGGATGCTTTGGTTTCACACATCTTAGCACAACTCCAAGATTCAAATAAATGTTATGTTAAAACAAAGTTCATGGACAATGAGTTAGAAGCAGCTTTGGACATAAAATCAAACACCTTCATTTCTCAGATAGGAAAACTGAGATACAGCCAGGAGAGGGGTTTACCCCAGCCTGGGCAGACTCCGGTGCCCAGCCTCAGCCTTCAGCATTTATTGAATGCCTGCCCTGCCAGGCACTGAGCTGGCAGTACCCCATGACCTGATCACTCTCCACATGCTCTAATGCAGAGGACACCAGTCATC